ATTGTTTTCACCTATATTACAACTAGAAGCACCTAGAAGGACCTTTCAAGTACATAGAACTTCATCTTTTGTTAGACCTAAAATAGAATATGTTATTCCTAAACAGAATAATGAAGAAAATGAAGCAAGTTCTTCGAAAACAGAAACTTATACTGAAGTAATCATAAAACCAAATAACAATATATATAAAATTGAACAAAAGGTTCAAGAGATAAGTAAAGAATTAGGACTAAAAATATGACAAGTTCTAATAAAAATTTTAGAAATTTTAGCTAATATATTAATAAGGGTAGAATTGTATTTTTCACCCCTAAAATGGCTATATTTCATCTTTTTAAAAAAGATGGTTGTATTTCATTTTTTACTTCAAAAAAGTGCTAAAAACCGGCGGCTCTCACTTGTGATAATGGTGCTAAAAACTTTGTATACCAAAAATATAATTAAGATGAACCTCGGGTACCAAAACGAAAATTAATTATTTTTCCTATGTAGAAACTATTAAGGGTATACTTGGTAAACCAAATAAGCTAGCTTATAGCTTATTTGGTGACCTTATAAGCTTCTTGTATTTTAAATAGCCCCGTTTGGTAGGACGAGCTTATTTAAAAAGCTCGAGCTTATTTGATAAACTTGTTTAGGTAGTTTTTCAAATAAGCTAGTTCAATTTTTTATTCCAGCTAGCTTATCAGCTCATTTTGCCAAACACTTTTATCATATAAGCTAGTTTTTCAGCTATAAGTCGTAAGCTATAAGCTATAAGCTAAAAAATTACATATAAGCTATAAGCTAGCTTATCAGCTATCAGCTAGTTTATCAGCTAGTTTTACCAAACATAGTCTAACACATCTTAAACAATAGTAGCACTAGCAAATTCGCATTAAATTTGAATTGATGTTATGAGTGTTGAGAAAATCCTCCTTAGAGATGTTGTATTCAAATGATAGATACACTTCAAAACCCGCATTTATCATCATAGATTTTCTAAATTCATAATGTCAAAAATCATTTAGTAGTCCGCTTTCCAGTTTCCACAAATGATTTCGATACTTAATTTTTTCTAACTTGTCTCTGATTCGTTGGTTCAACTGTCGGGTCATCGTAACAACTGTTGGGTTGGGTAATTAATTTTAAAAATATAAGATTATGTATTTATCTTATAAATATACATACATAAGAAATACAAAAAAATATCTAATATATGTAAATTTATACTTTAGAGTCCTAATAATATTGTATCTCATCATCATTTTTTTTTTAACAAAAATATATAATGGCCTTCGTTATCCGGTTCGAACGACTAACTAGCTCCGGGCCGGGCCGGGTCAAAAGCTCAAATAGAGTTTGTAGTTCATTTTCATGAACATATTTCAGAGTGTTGCCCAAATTAAATAATTGGCAAAACTATACTATGAGAAATGCACACCTACCTACGGTGGGCACATGTTAATATGCCCACCGCGTAGGTGACATGCACTCATTGGTGATGTTAATATGTTAAAAAAAATACATCACCAATGAGTGCATGCCACCTACGCGGTTGACATATTAACATGTGTCAACCGTGGGTAGGTGTGTATTTCTCACTATACTTAATATAATTGCACCAACTAGTCCTTTAGCAATAACTCATTCATTCTATTTCTCCCAAACTCAATTTGCAAATCACATTGTTTGGCCTATAATTCTATATAAAGACCACTTTTTTTTTTTGATACCATTTGTACTCAAACTTCAATATTTAGCATAAAGGACCACCATTTAAATATCTGTCAATAGTTCTCTAAAGTTATTCAGAAGCTTTTCATATTAGTAAGTCTTTTCATTGTAATATTTACTTTGTAATCATATTTTAACTGTAATTTCTTGGTAAGTTTCACATATTCCCCTGTTTCATAATTCCTCCTCTCACTTTATGACCCCTACAGAATGTTGAATTCACATTTTGGCCCCTGTGATCTCTTGGAATATTTATGCTGAACTCTAAATTTGACCCCAGATAGATGACAAAAAAAAGGCTAACCCAGAAAAGCTTTTCCATTTTAAAATCACTGATAACCATCAAGATTTATGTTTTTTTCAGAAGTTGTAATATTTTAGCATCATTTTATTGATATACATTGTGTAGCAGGGGAAAACAAATTGCAATATGAGCTCAAACTTGTCGCAAGAAGATGAAGAACACAAGTTCGAAAAGGAAGAAATCGACAATTCCTGTGGAGAAAACGCAGAGCTAAATTCGCCCGAAACTCAACTTAAAAGAAAGCGAAACCGTCGCCACACATCCGAGCAAATCCATGCAATGGAAGAGTAACATTTTTCTTTTAAATCAAATGGAATTTTACTATGATTATGAATGTAGATGCTAGCTCTTTGTTTTTGCACTAAACTTGGAACACGATTCTACCGTAGCTTCTTTAAGGAGTGTCCTCACCCGGACAATCAACAAAGAACCGAACTTAGCCGAGAACTAGGAATGGACCCGTTGCAAGTGAAGTTCTGGTTCCAAAACAAACGGACTCAAACGAAGGTAAAAGAAAATAGTCGTGCACATTTTATCCGAACATCATTAATCCTCAGTTGATTGATTTTAGTATCTTTTTTTTTTCTTTTTTCTTTTTTTTTTTCTCTTTTGGTGCAGACGAAATACGAGCATCGGCAGAATAAACGTCTCAGGGCCGAAAACGAAAGGCTTAGGGCCGAAAACACGAGGTACAAAGAAGCCCTGAGCAACTCGTGGTGTGTTTCTTGTGGCGGCATGGCTGCTATCGGTGCAGTGACTCGCGAAGAATGTCATCTGAGAATGGAAAATGCGCGGCTGAGAAACGAGGTTTGCGCTTCGGTTCTCGTTTGCTCTTTCTTCGGGCTGCATTCTGTTCATATAGTGATAATTCATTAGTGGAAATGACTACAGTCCTTTCATGGAATAATTCCATCGTGTGTTTTAACTTTTAACCATGGATTATCCACACTGCAGTAAATAGTATAACAACATAATCATTTCGTCACGGGACTGTAGTGATTCCCAATAATAATAGTTCTTTACATATTTCGATTCATTTTTCGGCCAATGTAGATCGAGCGCATTTCGATAGTAGCCGCAAATTATGTCGGTAAGCCCTTGATAAACTCCAGCAATACTACACCATCTTCTCCCATGCGAGCTACTAGCCTTGCGACGGGACCTTCTTTTCGAGGATCGACGAGCAAGGGAAACGAGAGTGTCGGAGAGGAAGAATCCGACGAGCCAAAGACGACACCATGAAAACATTTGTCTACTTTTTTCATCATCCTAATGTGTTAATGATGAGATTGAATGAACTAAAAGATGGAAAACAGAGAAAACGAAAACTACATTAAATTGCCTTACGAATTGAAGTTCTTTCACATTGGAGTTTCCAGCACAGAAGATGGAAAACAGAGTATAAAGAAAAAAAGAAAGAAAAATTACATAAATTGGCATTTAGAAAGGATTGAAAATCAAACATGTTTCTTTCTTCAGTTCAGTTATGGAAAATAGCCTTACAAGGCAAACACAAACACAAAGTCCAAACACAAACCCAGGACACAAATTTATGAAACAGAAAACATGAGAAAATCCATTTTATTGCACTTCAAACTCCTAAATCCAAGCAGAAAACACAAAGAGCTTCTTCATCAAATCCTTTATTCCTTACATCCTCGATTTCGCGATCACCACACCTCCATCGGCCGCCACATTCCCCGCCCCTGGCCTCGTCCACGTCTCCTGAAACTGCTCCTCTGTCACCCCTGCCCGAGAAAAAAAAACCGAACCACATCACAACAGAAGATCAAAAATCAAATAAACGAATAAAAACAACAACTACAACACATTTGTATAATGTAAGAACAACTTGCCTTTTCCCATGGCAGCAGTTGAAGTAATCCCTCCTTGCACGGTCCTAAGCACGCGATCGTAATAATTTGCTCCCGACCACTTTTGGTGGGCCAGCGTGTCGACACCGTGCTTTCGCTCCTCACGTTGAATCTTCTCCACGTAAGCGAGCATCCCGCGCTCGGCAAAGTCCTTGGCGAAAGTGTCGACTATGAGGGCATCGGCGTGGAAACCCGCGAGCGTGATGAACTGCCAGCAATAACCGAGCTTCGCAATTTTCGGAATGAAGTCCATCATTTGCTGGTCGGTCATTCCAGAAGCGTCCCAGTTGAAGGAAGGGGAGAGATTGTAGGCGAGCATCATGTCCGGGTAGGCCGATTTCACGCCGCGCGCGAACTCGGTGCACTCGGCGAGGTCCGGGCTCGAAGTCTCCATCCAGATGAGATCCGCGTGAGGGGCGAAGGCCCACCCGCGGACGATCGCCGCCTGCACGGACCCCTTGAACCTGTAGAAACCTTCTCTAGTCCTGGGCAAGTCCCAATCCCAGAACAAATCCCGCACGCCGAGCCTCTCCGCTATCTCCCGAGCCTTCTCGTTCGGGACACACTTATCCCAGCTCGTCTCCCTCGCCCACTCCTCCGCCCTCCTCCGCCTCTCCTCCGCCCCGATTCCGCCCATCTCCCGAATCTTCTCCGCCACGTACTCCGAAAAAGTCTTCAGCCCTGCCGCCGCCATCCACCGGTCCTCCACCGCCTGCAGCTCCGCCCCGCCCTTCCCCGCCGCCACAGCCTCCTCCATCACCGCCGCCAGCGGCCGGCACCGGTTCGTGGCCCCCAATATGAACTGGTGGTCCCGGCCGTCGATGTTCGTCTGGATGAGGTTGGCCGCCACCGCGTCTGTCCGGGCCACGAGCACCGTCTCGACCCCCATCACGTCGAACTGCAGCCGGGCGGCCACGAGGCGGTTCGCGTGCTCTCCGGCGGAGACGAGCACTTTTCCGGCCATGTGGCCGCACTTCTTGGCGGCGGAGGACTGGTCCTCGATGTGGACGCCGGCGGCTCCGCGCTCGACGAAGAGCTTGCAGAGCTTGACGGTGGCGGTGGCGCCACCGAAGCCCGTGTCTCCGTCGGCGATGATGGGGCGGAGGTAGTCGGTGGGTGGGGCGGCGCGGGAGCGGTCGGGGCGGGGGAGGGACATGCGGGCCTCCCGCTGCTTGCGGTCGTGGTAGAGCTGGGCGAAGAAGAGATGCTCGACTTTATTGGGGACGGTGTCGTATGGGTAGTCGGCGAGATCCGGGCCGGGCTCGTTGGTGGTGGTGTGGGTGGAGGAACACTGCCAGCCGGAGACGTATATTGTGTCCAGGTGCTTGGCCATCATTGTTACCTAGGGAAAACCAGGGATTTATTTGATGGGAGGATAAAAAAGTAAAATTGCATAATTTGATGGGAAGTAATTTTTCTTTTTTCCTTTTTTTAGAAAAATGTTGGGAAAATGCTGCCGGAACCATTCTGTCAGATTTGTAACCGTTATATTATCATATAACCGTCGTGGATAGTTGATCTAACGGTTACAAACTCGAAAAAATAGTTCCATAACGAGACCATAGAATCTCCCAAAATGTTGCTTTTAGCTGATTTTTTTGTTTTTACAACATTAAGCAAAAATCAATAATATTACAATTTTATTAGAAAAAAAGTTAACGATAAAAACTTAATATAAAAATTGAATTAAGTTGTAACTATTGTAGAAATAATTCATATAATCGGAAGGCGCCTCATAATGATGTATTATTAATTTACGAAAGATTTTCTAAAAAAAAAAATTATAGAACCCAAATAAATGTTTTAGCTGTCTTTTAGCCACATCATGATTATTAATTCTTAAATTCCAAAGAACTCTTTTAAATTATAAAACCCATAACTTTAGCTATTTTTTTATTCTTTCTTCTTCATGGTTGTTGTAATAATAGGGTTGTAAGTTGTAACTAACTGAATAAAATCATTGGTGTTTGAAAAAAATTTGTTTTTTTTGTTAATCGAGTTCGAACATAAAATTAAGTTCATTTAATAATAGAACGAATATCACTTAATAATAATGTTCACGAACATTAACATAATATAGGGAGATGCTACGGTCCCGTTACGGTACCATCCCGTCGGTTGTTTTAACCGTTGGATCTACGTGTAGTTAGATAAGATAGATGATCCAACGGTTAAAACACCCGACGGGATGGTACCATAACGGGATCGTAGCATTTCCCCATAATATAACTTTAGTTTTTATTTTTTATATGATTACATGATACTTTTGCTAAACATCTAAATATATAAATTCTTTTATTCTATTTTTCTACTTTAGAGAATAAATATCGAGTTAATCTAATTTAATTAAAAAATTTATATCTTAAATTATTTGAATCGAGCACGAACGAACTCTTGTTGTATAGTAAATGATGAACACGAGCTCAAAATGTCCAAGCTCAGTTTGTTCGTTTTGATCACAACATTAGTTGTAAAGTACTAACAAAAAATCAATAATAACATGAATGAAAAAAAAAAATGCTACAAATAATAAAAGTTAAACTAAGTTATAAGTATTGTAGAAATAACTCATAACCCGAAGCCACAAAAGTAATGATGTTTTATTATTAATTGTCCAAAATAATTTATTTATGTATTATTAAATTACATGAGAAGCATAAAATTAGTCACCTGGACTGGGTCGAGTGACCCGAACGTCCGGGAGGCGGTGCCCCGAGCCTGGTGGGTCTTTAATGTTCGCCAGAGCTTCTTTGCCATCTCGTTGGAGGCATAGCTCTGCCGGAGAGTGCCGCGGAGGGCCACCACATCCCGGGCGGTGTAAGGGCGGCGGGTCAGCCGGAACCGCTCGGAGTTCCACCACGCCTGCACCTCGGCCACCTCGGCTTCGAACCGACTTTCTTCCTCCATTATCTGTATGCATTTATTACAATATATATGATTTAAGGTTAATGAAGTAGGAATAATTTGATGAAGAATGATGAAATGTTTTATTCTTACCATTGAAGGGACTGAGAAAGATGATGCAGGAGCCATGGGAATAATTAATTGAGAAGAAAAAATGTTTTTTTTTTTTTTTTGATGTACAAAATTGATGTGTTTGAAAAATGTGGATGGAGGTGAAGGGGAGGGAGTGAATTTATAGGATTTTTTTTGGAGGGGATAAGAGCCGGTCGGGTCCGAATAAGATAAGAATGAGAAATGAAGACCCGTTTTTGCAAATTGTGTGGGTAAGAAAATTAAATTAAGTTGATTTTTTTGGGAAATATTCGACAAGTTAATAAAATAATCTTGAAATACTCATCATGTGTAAATGATTCCGTAATTTTTTAATATCATCCTAAAGTATATTGATCTCCCTAAGAAACTGGGGAAAAAATAGATGCGGTTCCACTTTAATATGAAGCGCACCAAAAGCGAGGAAAACCTATATGAAGTCTAAGTGGGGTTCCATTCTAAAATTAATTGGTGGAAGGAGGAGTAGCCCATTAGACTTATAAGGTGGGTCTATTTGCATGTACGAACGATGTGGGACAACTCACAAGTGATATTCTAACACGCCCCCTCACTTGTGAGTTTTTCGGAAGCCTAAGCCCAATTGAGTGCCTCAAGCCTACTAGAAGTAGACTTCCATAAACGGGTACGTGGGGAAGTAGACTCCCATAAACGGATGCGAGAAGTCCAAACCCAACTGGGTGCCCCAAGCCTACTAGAAGTAGACTCTCATAAACGGGTATGTGGGGATCAGACTCCCATAAACAGGTACGTCATCGCACGGTCCCAATAGAACCGACTCTGATACCAGAAGTAGACTCCCATAAACGGTATGTGGGGATCATAGAACCGACTCTGATACCATGTAAGAACGGGGGAAAACGGGTGCGGTCCCACTAACATGAAGCGCACCATGAGAGGGAAAAGCCCATATGAAGCCCAAATGGGGTTCTATCCCAAAACCAATTGGTGGAAAGAGGATTAACCCATTAGACTTATAAGGTGTGTCTATTTTCCATGTACGAACGATGTGGGACAACTCACAAGTGATATTCTAACACCTATCATATAATTGTGCAAATATAACGGGACATACTATGGTCTTATTCCGTCGGGATTTGTAATCATTAAATCAACTATCCTCGACGATTATATGATAATCTAACGGTTAAAAATCCCGACGGAATGGTTTCGTGACAGGACCGTAACATTACCCAATATAATGATCATGCTGCACTATAAATAATGGTTGATATATAATATTTGATTAAGACATATAATTGGGCAAACATAATGAAACTTATAGTTTGACATTGACGAAAATGGATAACTCAGTTGGTAGAAATCTTCACTTGAGATCAATAGGTCTCGAATTACTATCTAATCCTTTAAAAAAATATATAATATCATGATATATATATTTAGGAGAGGAGCCACATGTAATTATACCCGGGCTTCGGTCCGGGTGGCCTCTACAAATTCTAGTTAGCTAATGCCCTGATAGCTTCTGCATGTACTCTAAGGTTCTACAGATTCAACACGAATGGCTTCAGTCCGGGTGACTTTAGTTCGAGAACGTTTTGAATCCAACTCCACCCCTGTATATATATATCTAAGTCAACTTTATAATCAGCAATTTCTAATATCATTCCATTATATCAAAATAATTATGTGAAGTAACTTTATTATATATAGTCACTGTAATTGCTTGCATGGAGATGGGATTTCAACCTAACATATTTAGGGCACGTTTACTAGGGTGGACAGGATTGGATTAGGTTGGTTAACCAACCTTATCATATGTTTACAAGGTAGTATTTGGATTAGGATTTGACTGATGTGTTAATGGTGTGGCATGTGGGTCCCATGTCTGGTAAATGAGTTGGCAGGTTACTTTAATCCGCCAGAGAGGGTCGGATTTTTTTATCCCTGCATATTCATTCCCATTTTGTCCAAAAAGTTAGCTGTTAAATGTCCTTTGTACCCCTAAATGCCAATTAAATTACAAATATAACCACATATAATGAATTTGGCTATCTAAAATCTCATTTTATTGTTGTTGGCTTTTTGGGTGAGGAACCCTAACTTTCTCCGCCCCCGACTCCCGTATTTTCCCCCACCTTCGTCTTCTTCATTTTTTTTTTTAAATTATTTAATTTTCTTTTTAGTTAATTCTAACATTTTTCCCTCGCAAGTGTCGATTGCTTCGTCTCCAGCCGGCGAATAAGATTTCCCTGAATAACGGCGACATAAATCAACTACTTCAGACCGATTAATCGGATGCACCAAGTGAGTGGCTTGTTAATTTCCCCTGTACGGACCCAATCGAGTAGGCCAAGGCGACCACCTTCTTAACTGCCCCTACAGTTTCGTACAGTGCCAATTCGTCGAGCTCGTCTTGCCGTTTACCTCATGTTGTCCTCGGCCGCTCTACAGTAATGGCATCGTCGTTGAATTTTAGGGCAAGAGAGGGAAAGATACTGAATTGAAGTGAGATTCATCAGATTTAGTTCGACAATAGGGAGGGCAAAATTGTCATTCTAGGTTTTATCATTAGCTTCACAAAAGTTTAGTAAACATAGGATGTGATAAAAAAAAGTAGCATCATATGGTAGTAAACATAGAATGGGATTTTATAAATGCTGACTGGATGGACAAATAGTCTTGTCCCGCTAAATCCCTGTCCATCCTAGTAAATGAGGCCTTATTGTAAAGTAAAACTTATTTCACTTTTGAATTTAATTTAGTGTTTTATTCTGTAATGACAAATATGTACATGGAGTACTTACATACACATGTCGTTTATCATCAGACCACAAAATTAAAATATGTTTAATTTTTATTTATAAAAAATTAAAAAACACAAAATGAAATCTGTAAATTCAACATGAGAGGTGAATGTCAAATGAACATGCTATAAATGAATTAGTTATTATTTGTAATTTACTATTTCATTTAATTATTTGAGCATCTCCCCAAAAAATAAATAAATAAATAAATAAATATTACATATTTTAAAAAAAAAAATAACATCATAAATATAATTGTTTAGTCTTATCTATATGTCCACAAGTATTTTGCGGTGTCATACGTAGGCTGACGGGCGGTGGGAAGGAGCATTTACTCCTATAAATTAAACAATATAATATACTATAAATTCAAAATAAAAATAATATATTAATAATGGATATGCTCAATCACAAGAGGTGTCCAATTTTGTGATCATCATTAGGGTTTCTCAAAGTAAAGAAATTCAGTTAATTGCATAATTTACCCACAATATATATATATATATTAAAAGTCTATCTATTTATCAAAAATAGTAACAAAAAAAGTCAACACACATTTAATGCAAACCTTATTTAAAATTTTTTTACTATATGCATTAATTGTTTGCATATTTACATTTACTATCCAAATATGATCTTAAAGATTTTTTCCTTACATAATTTATGCAATGATTTTACTGATATCCATTATAATCAATATTTGTCGAGTAATATTTTTTAACTTTTATTTAATTATATATAACTAATATTTTTTTAAAAAAATTAATATTATTTATTATTTAAAAGATAATGATCACATCATTAAATGATTTTATTGATGGTTAGATAATAAAATTATATTAGTTATTCTTTAAAATTTCGACATGTTATTTATTTATATATTATTGTCAACTATGATAGTGTTTTTATCACTTTTTTTTGTTATGTTTCAAAAATGAACTTATTGTAAAATATTTTTATATTGCATAGTATGTTAACTAAACTATAAAGCCTTAGGATGAAAATTAGAAAAAATCTCTTAATTATGTAAGGGATTTATTTTTTGGCAATTGCTAAATCATTTTTTAAAAAAAAAGAATTATTATGAGAAAATTGAATTCTAAAAAACATGTGTGTGTATTTTGTAAACATTTATACTCAAAATTTTATTTTGAATTTCATTACATAAAGAAGACTACTTCTATAACTTTTATAAATAATAATAATGACATTATATGACTATAAATTTTATAATAAAATAATAATTGATTATTATATGGTGAACGAGAATAAATAAAATTTTTATTTTTTCTTAAATCAATGAATAAATAAGTGTTCTAAAATCAAATAAATATTAGTATGACGTGTTAGCAGAATTATATATTAATTAACATGTTAATTTGTTGGCTTAAATAAACGCCACTTATTAAAAGATGTAAAATATGGATGGTCCAAGCCTATTATTTTTTTGTCTAGACGTACAAGTCCTATAGATATAATTGATTTATTATATGACGTGCATTGCACGGGGTATGTACTAGTTGAAATGGTAACCAACCTTGTGAAGGCATGAATATGAAGCTATATAGCTTCTTAAATGTTATAATTCACATTATTCAATATTCTGCTTAATTATAAGTCATTACATTATTTATGTGGAAATGTATATAATATAGGTCAAAAATGAGAGAATTTTGATTCCTAATTAAATTGATGGAAAATGTTATGGTCCCGTTGCGAAACCATTTCTTCGAAAGTTTTAATCGTTGAATCATCAATCCTACACTAACTATATGATGATCCCACAGTTAAAACTCTCAACTAAACTATGTTTCCTTACAGAAAAGACAATCTATCGTCAAATGTATGTAACTATGTTTCAATTGAAAACATTATATTAATATAACATTTCTATATTCATTGATAATTAGATTGAATATATAATTTCACCGTTGAATTTTCTCGGTTTTTTAATTAGATCTCTCTTACTAAAACATTCATATGAAAAATAAAATGTAAATCATAAATAAATAAATAAATAAAACGTTGAAGGGACAAAAATGGAGTCAAAATTTGCAGGCTTCAGCTCTGATCCATAAAGTGTTTGCAACGATCAAAATAGCCAAAGTGTTTGCATGAACACATAGTGATCCTTACACGACGTCGTTTAATTTACTCTGTGTCCGTCTCTTCTTTATATTATTATACACGTATAAATATCCCATATTCGGTGCCAACACACTCAACACGAATAAAATACCCTAAAGCTCTTAA